TCCCTTAAACTCCATCCCTTAAACTCCATCCCTTAAACTCCATCCCTTAAACTTAAGGGAAAAACAAAGAGGGAGAGACCCAAGGGTTGACAGACTTGTGCGCCGAGTGTGAATCCAAGCGGAAAGCGAAAAGGACGTTACTTACTAATCCCGATATTTCTTATGAACCGAAAACCGAAACTCAACAAAAAAACCTGACAGAACAAAAGGCTTTCAATGCCGTCAAACAGCATAATACGAATGCCACAACCGGACAACAAAAATCACATGCACAAAGACTAAAGCCATCTATGAAGCCATGCCCAGCATGATACCTGCACGTGAAATAGCAACAGAACGCACAGCACAACTGCATGCGTACAACAAAAGTCATAAAGAAAGAAAACCACGCATGTCACGACAAACCAAAAACGGACCCTGAAAAGATTATAACGAAGCCGTCATAACAAACGCATAGCAAAATAGTGCATGTGTAAAACACAAGACTCATGAATAACGCAAAACCCAACATATCATGACAAACAACAACTGGCCATGAAAAGATTTTTTAACGAAGCCAGCCTAACAAAGTGCACGTGAAATCACACCAAACGCATAACGAAGCACTGTATGCGTAAGGCCCCGTCCACACGTATCCGGAAATTAATTTGTATCCGCAAATATTTTTTTACGGATACGGGTTGCGTCCACACGTGTCCGCAAATTTTTGTGTCCGTATCTGCAAATTTAACGAAAACGGATACGTGTGGACGGTGAAAACGATTCGAATACGCTGCGTGTGAACGCAAACATTTTCGTATCCGCAAAAAATAATTTGCGGATACAAAAATTTCCGGATACGTGTGGACGGGGCCTAAAACACAAATGTCATTAATAAAGCTAAGTCCACCCAAACATATCATGACATACAAAAGCTGGCCAAGAAAATATTTTAACGAAGCTAGAAATTAAGCAGAAAGATGGCCAAGGAACCGAAAGAGGGCGTGAGACAAAAGTATGAACAAAGTTAAACCACGGAGTGCACAATACAACAAAATCAAAAAGCATACATTCACAAAAAGCCATGAATAATGCTGAGCCAAATAGTTCATGACTAAACAAAACTGGCAAATATTTTTAACGGCCAGAAGTGACGGAGTGCACAGTGGCAACCAAAATATAGCATAAAATATAGCATAAGGTTATGGCCAACAACCGACTTTCAAACATTACTATTGTAGAACTACAAAACCCCATACAAAATAACGGGGTTCTTATATAGCGCATTTTACATGGTCTCAATGCGCTTCACAATCATCACCAGTGGAGGACTTTACGGGCTGCGTATTTAGGCGCTAGTAGCAGCCGTGCAGCTTACAATCATGAGTGATTTGTTAGTAAGTTAGTATTAATGCCTCCAGATTGGGATAGGCTGTTGAACCGGGAGACAATCCCCTACTCTTATACGAATAATTCAACAGGTTCTTTTATGTCCCCCATTTTACTGTAGGTTAGGAAGGGTTGGGAGACAGGGCCTATGGTTTTAAGTCCTTGTCCGAGAAGACTTGAAGGACTAACCATTTGCAGATTTTCATTACAAAGGCAGCACCTTCTCCTCAGTTATTTTAAGACCYTGAGTGTTGGTGCGGCCGAGGCTTGAACCACGACCTCCCGCACAACAGACCGACGCTCTTACCAACTGATCTAACCGGGTGGCGGTTAAACGTACAAACCAAGGGAAATTTTCTGTCACCGTAAGGACAGTTGAGCTAAAACTTGATAAAACAGCTAATCCTGCCACGAACATTAGCGAAACTCGGCAAGTATCGAAAAAAACCGACAAATTAAGTAAAAGAATATTGGCACAAGTTCTCCTTGTATTGGTGGCGGGGGGATATTGGTTTGTGTTTTCCTGGTTTTCCTGGCCAACAATTTGATTCATTGGGACATCCTTCTGGATTGTGCTCAGCCATTAAAATCAAGCTACTATACCGAAGAGGAACGTACGTCGCAACTGGGTATAGGTTTTGAGTGTTAACCCAAAACGAAAATTGCATAAATTGGGATCAAAACTCATACGAAAGTCTAGTTTTTGGCGCTTTTTGCCATTATTGCTCATTATTGAAAAACATTTCCTCTTAATATAAAAACCCTCTTTGGGAATTTGACAACTGGCTGTTAAAGAGTGATTTTCTCAAACTTATGAAACAAAGTGTCCTAATTAGACTTAAAATAGTCAGATAAACACAGTAGAAAACAAAAGAGCTAGAGTGAAGTAGTGCTATATATGCTAAAGTGTATTTCACGGGTTTATGAAAACCACTGTAATAAAAAATATATTACTGCAAAAACCCTCTTTGGGACTTTGACAACTGGCTGCTAAATAGAGGTTGGTTGCTTAATGGAGGTATAAATGAGTGCAAAATCTCTCTTTGGGACTTTGACAACTGGCTGCTAAATAGAGGTATAAATGAGTGCAAAAACCCTCTTTGGGACTTTGACAACTGGCTGCTAAATAGAGGTTGATCGCTTAATAGAAAAAAACCCTCTTTGGGAATTTGACAACTGGCTGCTAAATAGAGGTTGATCGCTTAATAGAAGAAAACCCTCTTTGGGAATTTGACAACTGGCTGCTAAATAGAGGTTGATCGCTAAGATAAAAGAGAGAACTTATTGTAAAAATCCTCTTTGAGACTTAAAAAATAAAGGTCGATCACTTAAAGGGCCACTTGGACGAAAATCGTTCCAAAATTAAAACTCTTTCATTCGAGCTGGAACTTTGCTGAAATAATCTTGAACACATTAAGAACCTCTCACTGAAATATCTTTCTAATATTCGAAAGGGAAGGGCCAAAATTTTACGATTTATTTTCGTCCGCCATTAATTTTTCGACTCACGGCCAACGAGTCATTATGTACAGCAGTTTTACGCTGTGACGTCATTTACTCAACACCGTCATGTTAGCGTCGTTTTGACTATACATTTCTTGTTA